GTGCAAAATGCATACCAAAGGACGGGATGACTTTGGTCAGTTCATCCAAGAATACTTGCGCCTTCTCCTCCTCTTCGAACATGAGAACGATGTCGTCTGCATATTCCAGATCGACAAGGTTTTCTTCACAGGCTATTTGAACACCAGGGTTTTGGAGACCCTCCAGCGTTCGTCTCATTATTTCATCGATCACAACGTCAAAAAGGAATGGAGAGAGTGAGCATCCCTGACCGACACCGCTTTGTGTGCTCTCCGTACACTCTCACACGTCCGGAAGTCTGAGAATACAAAGAACGTATTATGTTTACAAACTTCTGGGGCATTCCTTGGTGGGCAAGCGTCTCGATAAGAACAGACCGATCAACCGAGTCGAATGCGCCTCGGAAGTCCAGGAATACTAGAATCGTGGGTCGCTTATACGTATGGTGTTGTTCTAGCACCTGACGCAGTGTGAAGATTTGGTCAACACAACCCCTACCAGGCCGGAATCCCGCTTGCTGCTCTCGGGTCAGCATCTCACGGGCCACCGTAAGGCGACGAAGCACAATTGACGCCAACAGTCTCGTTACAACCGTGGTCAAGCTGATCCCCCTGTGGTTACCACACTCACTACGCGCCCCTTTTTGAAAATGAGCACTATCCCCGATTCTCCCCAGTTGTCTGGGACAGACTCCTTTTCCCAAATGCAAGCAAACAGATCGGACAAGCGCTGACTGAGGACTTCACCCCCGTCTTTGAACAGTGCGGGTGGAAGGTCATCCGGACCGGGAGCTCGGTGGCGCTTGAGAGGACATATGCAGCCGTAAATTTCCGAGGCCGTAGGTGGTTCCACGTTCACTGTCCAGGGTTCTACTTCACCTGTGGGCCCTAGATGAGTCTCGGCTGGTGGCCACGACAGTTCGAAGTATTCGGCCCACCAGTGGAGGCATTCTTCTTTGTTCGAGATGGTCATTCCATTCTGATGTTTGATGGTTTCACTCACAGGTGGTTTCCGGGGACCGGTCGCAGGGATCTGTAGTATCAAAATAATACAATATCAATCCTCATCAACTTTCAAGCTGTTTGAATCGATCCATCTGTGCGGAATATCTGCTTGGTTGGTGGCATTCACGCGAAGACGATCCTCCCTGTGGCCTACTGCACACCAAGGAAAGCTCGCGTTCGAAAGTAAAACCAAGTTGAACATTCGCCTACGATGCATCTGTCCACCAGGGCGGGTGCTTCCTAGTTCCAATATCGAATGATCACTCAAACGGCAACACAGGAACACTAACTTCAAGTCCCCAGATCAGGGCAGGTGACCAATAGCACCAATGACATCGTTCACTTGGATAGTGAAATGGAAGAACCTGCGATTATCTGACTCACTATGCAACAGTCGTAGGAGTGAAAATCAACACCCCGAAGGTAATCACGGACGTACCTGTCTAGCTCCCTAATATAAGAGGCGAAATAACCGAGCACGTGTCCGAATTTAAATACATCGTTTCAACCATTTCACCCAGCAAACAGGGTTAAGAGGTTCGACGGAGTATCAACATTGCCCAGCAAGACTGCATACCGCTGTACATGGTCTTGTAGAAAACTATACCAGCCAACGCACAGATACCCGAACCTTCAACTCACTCAACCGCTGCGTCCTGGTATATCCTCACAAAGCATGTCTGCGCAAGCAAAGGACCTCAGACAGCTAGGATTTCTTTAAAACTGCTGTCTTCGGCGTTTGTTTTTTTCCGTCTAAATGTGTCCGGCTGTACGAACAGTGCTGAAATCAATTAACAAACTTTGGCCTACGAACCATGTCACGGTTAGCTCGAGACAGCTCAGTGGTCAAGGTTGGAAACCAACTTCAGCACATTGACTGCTTCTGTCTTGACTTGGGCAACCTGGCAGAAGCCCAGCCTTCGTGCCTCCTTCCGTTGGCATTGCAGTCAGGTTCCGAAAGGGTGCTAGTGCTGAAAGACCTAATAATTTTCATTCATGGATGAGATCGTCGTTTCGAAGGACAACTGAAAGAACTAAGCTCAGTCAAAATTGACAGAGTGACTTAGTTTCCCCGCGGCTTATAGAGTGCTTCACCGGACGCCAGACCTGTTTGTGCGGATCTTGCAGCTGACCCTGGTGTCTGGACGTGTCCCTGAGACATCTCTGAACCCAACTTGGCAGCGCACCGCTGGTAACCACCTAACTCACAAAAAAGGAAGCAAACAGGTGTCAAAATTGTGGTATGAAGCCGATTACGAAAAACCTGAGTACTAACGGAGCAATGGGCCTTCCAAAATGGGTTCCGACTACCCATCGACTTATTGGAGGCGCTGCAAGGTGTTTTGGTTGCCAACGACGCCTTTGTTACAAGCTTCCATATGAATGAAAGATTTCAATAAAGATAATCGTTCAGCTGTAACACTCTTCTGGTGTGAAAGATTTAATAAAGATAATCGTTCAGCTGTAACACTCTTCTGGTGGCTAGCTGCCGCGCCAACCGAAGGAAGCACGAGTTTATTACAAGGCAATGGTTAGAGAGCCTCCAAAACAACATCTCACTAAGGAATCGACAAAGGGTATTGGTGACACTAGAATGACGCTACCAGGGAGCAAATTTGGGTTATTGATTAGCAAAGGTGTTTCGTTTCCAACAGGTAGCCACATGATAACCACCGCAGAATAATGAGTGAAGCTGGCGGCTAACAAGATCAACTAGTTTGGCTCTAACTGCCTGCTGGACCCCAGGCTGAGATGCACTAGTGCACTAGCTAGATATGTGGAATGACAACAAAGGAAAACAGCTTATCTTACCTGTTCCGACTCTTTGAACGTGTAGTCGACCATGACGGATATTGCCAGCATATCCATGAACCCATTCACCAAGACTTGTGGTACAGTTGCAAATGTTGTGTGGCCCGTCGCTAGCCCCAGAGCGACAATGTTCTGCACCCCAACCATGAACTTCTCCATAACCATGGTGGGTGTTATGTCTAGAACCGCTGGATCGTAGACCGATCCGTGGTCGTAAACCTGGATAGGGTGAACAAGAAAAAAGGACACCAACCTGTGTAATGACAAGACCGTACGTGAAAGGGTATATCTTCAACATGTTCAGTAGGGTAGCTTCACTCATTCCGACCTTGGTGTTCTTCGTAATAATGGGGATGTCATTCAAAATCTCAATTGATCCCCTAGCAATTTTCGTGGGAATGTTGAGAGCCTGGAAAAACGAGGTTTTCTCCGGCCCTAGACCGGTGTTTTGAGCAGGGACGATGACATCACAAGGAGCAATGGTTCCTGCCTTAGCCGGAGCCTCGACGCGATTAGCCTCTAACTTCTCCCGTATCTCCAGTAAATCGGCTTTTGTGAAGATAAAACCCACATTTTCGCGGACATGAGGTAGAATCTTTTCGAGATGTGGATTGCGTGCCATTTGCGCATGAATAACCTTCTTCATCAAGGTATTTTTACCCATCACTATTTCAGCGGATCCACGCAGAGCCACACGGATTTGCTGCATTTGCTTAGATCGCACATTATCAACATTCACAACAAAGCATTTGTCACAATCTCCCAAGTGTTTCGATAGCTTCTTGAAATAATCGGCCTTCCATTCCGATCTAGATTTGCGAACCATTTTCCGTCGAGGACCGAGACCGCCGACGCTCACACCTGTCGGGATACGACTGTCGCGCTGCGACTACGCGAATCGGGTGATTTTAACAAACGTACATGCAGCAGGATCAGTCTAGTTGGAACAGAGGATGTTGATGGCTGAAAGCAAAATCACTAACGTTCATGTGGCGGGAACTCCTGAGGACCCGGCGACGCCCACACAAGCACTTTTTCAGTTATGCTTGGGTAATGAAGACTTCTCGCGCGCAAGATTTGAATTTGTCGCATAAAATCCCGACGCATTCACACGGGAGCGACCGGGAATTTCTTTAGGGTTAATTGGGTCAATAGTTACTTTAGCAGAGCGGCACCATACTAAGAGAATTTTTAATGCCCGAGCCATATGAAAAGGCAACTCACAGATGGACGTAGATATGGGAAGTGAAGGGAGACTGGCGCAGATTGAAGGACTAAGCGTCGGCGGAAAGAATTCGTCAGAGTTCGTTTATTATTTTTAGAAGTTTTTAGGATCCACTTTATGGATTACAGTCTTGCGCGGTCTATCCCAGAATATATTCCGGATATATATATCCCAGATATATTCCGACAGCGGCAGCCAGTGCGCCACCCACTGAAAAATGGTGTGAACATTTTGGTGAAGTTTAGATCAGACACATCCACGCAGGTGTATGGGCAATGAGACTTATAACTAGTAGCAGCTTGGAACAGGACAGTCAGCCACCAAGGAGTATAGGCTTTACGAGAATCCGGAGATAGGCAGCGGCCACGGATGTGATCGTCCAGTTGTGTGACCCCCATCAGAGTATATGGGAGTATCTACGTTCTTGTGTTCTTGGGAAAGCAAAACACGACTGAGCCTTGTGGATCTCGGTTGAGTGTAAGACAGCCGCTAAAAGGCACTTACACCCAAAACCATGACACATCGCACCCGATACAGAAAACCATAGGGTTAATTACCATGGATTGCGATGTAATAAGAAGTGTTGCTTCAGTAGTCCGTTAGATGTTATGAGCGCCATCAAATTTTCAATGCAAAGTGCAAATACAGGCATTTCAGTATGTACGATTAACTTCTATAAATAGGACAAAATCCGATATATGGAAGTTGCGGGATGTCACTGCAGGGGTGCATAATCTTGCTACAACTGATGCGCCATCGTTCTACAAGAAATCGAATCAGTATTTTGTATTTTGACAGGTAGATTTCTGTGTATGCAAAGCCCCATCGGACTGTTGAATGTGGTGCTTATTAAAGGCTAATTAAACCCAATTAGACTAGCCTCTGAGGCCACTGTGAAGCTTCCGCTGGTGATTTGTGCGTGGTTCAAGAAATTGTTTACCACTAATAGCTAACGCGAAAGAAGTTTAGAGTTCATCACATCTTGGATGAGTTGGACGACCTCTGTCCATTTTCCGACGCACGAATTACTTACTTATCTCCTCGGACATCTCACTGATGCACCCAAGATGTTGTAATGCCAAGAAGAACGAATTTATGCACTGCTTGTTTGTCATTGTTTTCGTTCTAGCTCGGTTTTAGCGAAGATATTGTAATTTTCCATGGTGTGACTTTTGTATAACTCCATAACCCACCGAGCTATAATGTAGGATGTCCACACGAAACACGCAGTTTTCCGTTGCCGTTTTGACAGTGGGTAGGCATCTGAAGAACGCTCTCCCGGTGTTCCCTTTTGGGTGTTGGAGTATTATGACGATTTACTCCTTGGAAATTGAAGTACAGTCGACTCCCCTACCGAACACCGCTACTCTACGGTGAGGCTTCCCAGCCAAAGGCTTTCATAGAAAAACAATTGTTCTGCCCAAGTGAGGGCACCCTAGCAGTATCCCGGTCAATGTACGATCATGTGCGCACAGAAATCGACACATGCCACACTATCCGTCACACGGCGCAGCGTACATAAGAGTGTGTGAGTAAAAATTGGCCAATGCTGACACCTTTTCATTCTTTTACACATTTTCACCCTCCTCCCTCATTGTAGGCCCAGCAGTTGCGACTAATCATTGCGTTCCTCAGACAGATTTCGTAAACAACATTTGCTCGTCATCCGGCGCACATCCTCAGGCGTCTTGAACTCCAACTTCAAGCTTCGACGCACCTGGCAGTCTTCAATTCAGCACTAGGAAGCAAGCAGGGCGGCAAGCAGCTCACGTTCTCATTTTGGACTCGCTTGGAATTGATATCTGGAGTTTAGAAGAAAGGAGGATTCAAGAGGCACGTATGGTAGCCGAATAACCGCTCCATCACTCTCATTTCGTTTCCGGCTGCATACCTGTGGCAATCCGGAGGCCGTTGCCGAAGGGGATGAAGTGGTTTATATCGCCCTTAGTCACCGGGTAGATAGACCCCTGTTTGACTGGATGCTAGTTGCTAGTAGACCCTGTGGTTTCGTCTGTCAACGTCTATGAAGCAGTCTCGCAAGCGGAACGTTGATGGATGCTGCTTTTCGTGTCTGTCGCGGTAGGCTAGAAGGTCAGAAAGCAGTGTGGTTGCCGTAGATCTGAACGCACAAGTGGGCAGCCTTAGCTCGTCTGAGACGCGATGATGTGGTAAATTCATGCATAGAAAATATCACTACTTCCATCCACAGCCCTGGGAATTTTGTCTGTTGCGCGGCACTGGATATCAGGCCAAGTATTTGTGCCGCTCAAATCCTGGAGAGATATCCCTGGCGGTCCAGGACACCACTTGATTCAATGAATCGCCAGAGATCAACCTAAAGTGAGTGTAAAAGCCAACCATGGATTCCTATGGATACGGCAACCCAACGAACTTTAAATAGTACAGAATGCCAGCAAGACTTGAAGTTATTTTAGTTGATCCCCGCGACCTGTCTCTGGAAACAATTTTTGACCAAACATTTTTAACCAAGGAGAACGCCTCGATCAATATGAGGAATACTTTCTATAACATATATCGTGGCCACAATCTATCATTTAAAGCCTTAGGTCGAAGTATAACCCTCGACGGTGAACGCGAAACCCTCCTCATCCTCAGAGGTGTATGGCTGTAAATGTTTTCTCGAGTGCCAACAGGCCTCTGATCCGGCTAACCCTCACTCGCAATGTTTAAAGTTTGGGGTGAAGTGCATTGTCAGCGCTTGTTTGCGTGAATATGGGAAAGGAACACTGACCCGGATGACTGGGGGAGTCAGTATTAGTGCTTATTCTGTCTAGGCCGTTCATAGTGAGTGCTGTAACCAGAGAAGTATCTGCTTGACCCAGTCTCAACTAGAACGATAATGTCATTAGTCGTTCATTGACCTATGGTGGATCTGGGGCAGCAAGCAAGATTCCTGCATAGGAGGAGCTTCCTCGACCAAACGTTTACCTCCATCAGGCATTAGCAGAATGTCGTGCGTACAGACGTCCATGGTTTTAGCAGTCCTGAATTTCCAAGGTGAATTCAAGTCAGCTGATTAGTCCTTTCCTTGACGTGATACCCAAGATAAAATGCCCCAAAGTTCGTGAACCTAATTTATTTGCACTTCAAGGCTTTTGCACGTTTGAGGGTATACGGATAGCCTTCCAAAAGCCGTACCAGCGGTGCCCATCAAGGGTGCTCACTAGCTCCATTCCTCCCTAATTATGCGATCAAAGGGATGGTAAGGCAAGGGTTGCAACGACAAAAACAAACTCGACTCGGGAAGCTTGAGAATAATCCTCGATCTGGTGTATCAGTCCGTAAGGTTAAGTGAACGGATAATTGTTTTAGTAAAGCAGGTCAATCTGGACTATGCAGACAACATTGTTGCGAGCAGAACCGTTGAACCTGTTGAAGGGCCGTACCGAGACAGCGAAACCGGAATGGTTAGGTAGGACGTGGGGTTCGGCGTGACAGATCAAACGTACTACTCAGAACGAATATGAAGACTCTCCAAAAACCTGCGATCTGTTTTTCCCTTCCTGAAGGGTCATCAAATAGATGTTGTCACCGAGTATTATCATTACTTGATAGGTTAAGCGGCCTGGTGCACATTTTGTTTAGGTACACAATAAACCAGAGATTTGGCTCGGGCAAAGTGTGCCTTGCGCAAAAACCGAATCGGCTCGCAGTTGAGTGTATTTAACTGGTCCACTTATAGTTTTCTTCAGTTAAAGAGGGTGAACCGCTTTCCCGTTTTATCTGACACGATGCTTTAGATATCAGAGTGTAGCCCCTTGACTGTGGTCAGTAGGTCTGTCTGGAATTCCAGTGTCCCAAATTTGGCGGCAACAAAAATCTGGGTCTTTAATTGTACAACATTCAGTCAAGCACTATCCAACGAAAGAGTCCAACCTACGGTTAATTTGTGTCTCCCAGGCTAACCATAGTAATTTACGGGAGCAAAGTGATAAGTCGCATCAGGAGAAGGAATCCAAGCAATAGAAGACAGAACGAAGGGTGGAAAGAAGGGTATAGTGCATTATGATATGATTTTTTGGCTAAATATGCTTAAGTAAAACGCACAGGTAGTGATACCTACATGTGCGGCATATCAGAGCCCAGGCTCACCCCTCAGCTGGTGTGCTTATCTAGACAAATGTGGGTACAGTAGAGGAACTTCGGCATCTTCATTTAAAACTCCTACAATAGCCAAATGGACCGCGATATGCCACTCTATTTAAAAGGCTGCCGACTGATTGCACACCCAAATTATCTTCGCCGAAACTATAGGGTTTTCAAAGATGTGCCTTTAACGGGTGGTAGCGTAATTCTTTTGCACCTTCCAGTGACATGTCGCACGTAGCACTTTGATTAGGCAAGCGAAATATCATAGTCGCGAACCTTCATCGACTCGCATTTTCTTACCAGTTTACGCGAAATAGAACACGAAATCATACTTTAGTGTATTTTGGCGTACTTTAGGTATGAAAACATCACAGTATATCAAATGCAAATTTCACGCTTTAAGACCGGCTGTTGACTTTTGTTCGCCTCACCCCTCAGATTTAACAAATGCAATTATACTATTAAAATATTTTTGTCCGGCGAACCTGGTC